GCTTCTAGGGTCCTGGCCCCACTGCTGGACCTCCTGATGGCACCTGGTATTTTTGGCCAGTGTGTGATTGTATAGAAATATTTATTTCTATAGGCTTCATGTTTCCCCCTTGGAATGTATCTTGGTGACCTCCTGTTGTTCTGATTTCCTATGCAAGCCAGATGACTGACCATTTGGTCAATTGCCATGCCATAAACCAAATGGCCCTGCCGAAGCATGTAGGAAACGCACGTAGGCCCAAGGGTGGGTTGGACTCTGGGGATCATTGACTGCAGAGGGTGTTCCCCAGACCTAGCCTATCCCCACCCATTACCATGACAACCCAAAAGTTGGGACCTCCCTGTCTACTGATGATTGGCTAATGGCCATGGCTGATCATAATGAGATTGGGGGTTTTAATTGTCTGACCATTGGAAGGGAGAGCACACATTCTCTCTCTCGCTTCTGTTCCTGTTATCTACTGTTCTGTGGACTTATCCCTGAAATGCTTTGTCTCTGTCATGTGCTTTTTGGGAGAGACAAAGAGTTGCTTTGGAGCTGAGCACATGGCTGCATGCTTGCAAAGATGAAACTCTTGTTTCTCAAGATACTTGGACTATCCCAATGGACAATACTGACTCTTGGACCCTACCTGATGTTGGTAAATATGCTTCTTATTGTGTAGTTAGGCAAAACATTGCTTAGCCTTTCTTATTTTAGATTTCTCGTGGTCTGATGCAAGTCTGTGCTAAATAAACTTTACTCTTGTTTATAAATACTGTCTGCTTGATGGGTAACTGGACTCCAAGGCTAAACTCCTTGTGCCTAGCTGGCTGCACGCTACCATTGAGCCTTAAGAGTGCATCTCTGAGGAGGTGCTAGAGCTGGGTATTGTTGTTAATGTATTGTAAACATATAGGAGTTTTTCCCTCATTCCTAGACAGGCGTGGGGGCAGAATCCTGTACAGTGATACAGAGTGTTGGACTGGATGGGCCATTGGCCTGATCCAACATTGGCGTCTCTTATGTTCTTACTCTTTTCACTTCTGAGTAGCACTAGGAATTGCCAGGAACTCTATGGTAAAAACTTAGGGTTGCCAGCCTCCAGGTGGGGCCTGGATATCTCCCACTTTTACAACTGATCTCCAGCGGACACAGATCAGCTCCCCTGGAGAAAATGGCTGCTTTGAAGGGTGGACTCTGTGGCATTGTACCATGCTGAGGCCCCTCCCGTCCCCTCACCCCGCCCTCTCCTGGATCCACCCCCGAAGTCTCCAAGTATTTCCCAACCCAGACCTGGCAACCTTATAAAAACTTCCTACATGTAAACAAGGCCTTATTTTTCTGCTTGGGTTTTTTCTCCCAGGATGCTGCCTCCCCCTACAACCCGCCATGCAACCCTAGGCCTTGGGGTTGCTAGCTCCGGGTTGGGAAATGCTTGGGAGATCTGGGAGTGGTGTTTGGGGAGGAGTGGTGCTTGGGAGATCTGGGAGTGGTGTTTGGGGAGGAGACGGACCTCAGTAGGGTATAATGGCATAGAGCCCACCCTCCAAAGCAGCCATTTTCCCCCAGGAGAACTGATTTCTGTAGTCTGGAGAGAGGGTTGCCAGCCTCCAGGTGGGACCTGGGGATCCACCGGATTTACAGCTCATCTTCTGACTTACAGAGGTCTGTTTCCCTGGAGAAAATGGATGACTCTATGGCATTATACCCCACTGAGGTCCCCCAGGCTCCACCCCCAAATTTCCAGAATTTTCCCAGCCTGGGTCTGGCAACCCTACCTCCCCCCCCCCCCCAAAACAAATCCCCTCTTG